ACAGTCTTTGAAGCCAGATGTGAAATGCCAGTCTTCCTGTCATGCTTTGAAGAGGACCTCCATGCATCTCAGCCCAGATCTCATTTAATATATTCACAAATCCTGAATCCTGGACTAATCAGGCGCACTTTCTCTTCTTCTACCATTTATCTTCCCAAACCAGGTGGCTCTGTGGGTTTATGTTGTAATTAAAAAAAAAATAAAAATGCTAAAAAGGCTAATCCTGTAAAACAAAATCCTTCTGTCTCCGTTAATGAAGACCCCTAACCGTTTTCTCGTGTAATGACATATTTGTCTCTGAATAAACCAGCAGTGCTCTCTCCACAGAGATACGCCAGTCAGGATTAGTCATTTTACAGACAGACGCAGCGTTTTGGCTGAGCTGCAGTCTGACAATGATCCAAGAGCTAAAGTGAAAAAACAATAAGTGCAACTCAAACTGGTGCTGCGGTTGCTATTTGTGGCATAGACTCACACCTGTGTTAGCTCATACGTAGTGGCATGGTTTACTGCTGTACAAGCCTGCCTAAAATCTCTGCAATTAAAGGACCAGTTTGGTGACATTGTATTCCTCATGATGCTTTTCTTAGAAATCAAGCATGAGCTATTTGGTGCTCTTGATGAGGTGAAGACATTCAAGCAGCAATCGCAGTCAAATCATTTTTCCATTGGTTTAAGTTATGCTCCATATCTGAAAGATCTGTTTTCTTCATGTCACTGACCTTAAACTAGAATGGTACTCAGAGAGCACCGACCTCTGCTAAGGCCAATGTCAAACAACACAGACCCTTAACGGGTTCTTCTCTGGCTCATGCCTCATCCCTCCACTGCGTTTGGTGCAAATCGGTTCAGTACTTTTTGCATAATTCTGCGGACAAACAAACCGACCAACAAGCAGACGCGCATGAGAACATAACCTGGAGGAGGTGACAGTCTCTTGTCTTAATGGAAATCTAGAATGCAAAACATGTCGAGTCTTTTCCTCTGAACATCTCTTTGCCTGCGCTGTGGACAGGGTGCACCTGCTGTAGCACGACACACATTCATGTACAAGAACACAAACACATTCATATACATACACACATTAACAGGTGTGGAGCAGAGCGAGTTGAGTATGTTTTTAAAAATCCTGCAGACTCATAAACACTTCTCTCACTTAGCTTTGATGAGGTCAGCTCTTCCTCTGTGGCTGGGAGGAGAGAAATTGACCATGTGATTTTAGAAACTTGTGGTGTTAAAATTATACTTTGAGTTATTTTGGTGTGCTTTAAATTATGTTAATTTATACATTCTTTCAAATGTTTGCACAAGGATCTTTAGCAATTTTCTCCTGCGCAAATATCTCAACTAATTCAGGAAATGAGTTCCCTTCAAAAAACGTATCATTTCTGCCCGCATAAATAAAGAACAACTAACACAATGTGCAAATAAACTACAGGTTTGTGAGCTGAAGGTGAAACAACACAATCCCTAGAAAACAGGGATCTTCCAGGGAACTGATAATGTATGTGGTGCACACACTGCATCTAACCACTTAACAAACATCCTTGTGTTTGCAAGTGTCTAAAAGCATCTGACGGCCGTGCAAACATCTGATGGAGTCGGCAGCCAAAGACCCAGACAAGTGACCCATTCAGGAACATAGCAAAGTCTGAAGTCAGGGACTCTCTTCCTGCTGCAGAGCACAGTCTGGAAAGCTGTGTTCTCTCTCCGGCTGCATCAATCACACTTGCCTTTTATAAGCAGAGCAATCCATTTGTATTAAGTCATGAGAGGACAATTGGAAGCAAAAAAAAAAAGAGTTCAGTAAAATAAAATAAAAAATCTTATGAGAGGTACAGCCTGAAAAAGCAGTTTAGAATATTCAATAAAATGACTGTTTACAGATCTCACAATGAACTTCACTGCAGGCCATGTAACAAATGCAAGTTTTTCATCTTGATTTTTCCTTCTCTAAATACCACACACCAAAACTATTTCTCTATTGGACAGATGATATTTCACTCAAGAGGCATTGAAGTTATTTTGGCTCCAGTGTGAAACGATCGTGGTGGGCAGGCTGCTCTATCCTCACTGTGATCAAAACCATGACTAAACCTGGTTGACTGGCTGACTAAAACATAGAAATTATGCATTAATTATATATTTATATAAGCAAACTCTCCAGCAATTGATGTATCATGAATATGAATATGAAAAATAATCATCACACAGTTAATGGTAAAAGGACGTAGCGTACTGCTGTTATAGCTGCTTTACAGGATCTCAGACCAAACACTTACTTTGCAAAGACTTGTGTAACAGAGTCGAGTACGGTTACTGCAGCTCAAACACTTCACAACTACATTTGTTTCTTCAGTAGACTCCCATGACTGTCATGACGATATATATTGACCATTGATATGAGCTGATGGATTAAAAACCGAGAGGACGCTACTTTCAGGTCTGGTGTGATTGACACATAAAGCAAGCAATACAATGCCACCAGGGGCCTCATTACATGACTAACAGTGTTGGGCAGAAGGTATGTTTTTGATCTCAGTCCATCTGTGTATCGCGTGCCTCTGCAGGCAATCCTTAAAAGTTAAGGATAGATCTGGCACAGAGTAACATATGTAATTACCTCTGGCAAATATGTGAAATGTGAATAAGCATGAATAGACACTGAGCTGCACAGTGGTATCAGGTTTTTTTATGATGGATCAAAAACAGCAATATCATATTCTGTAAATTATTTGTGATCAGGTGCCACTGATAATCTCACCCCTGAACAAACTCAGTCATTTAGTCATTTCCAGAAAGCTACAGTGTCCTGTGATTCAATCTGACAGTCACACAGCAAACATCAGTTTCAAGCTCAGTGTCTGGCAACCCTGGAGTTACATGTTGCGACAGCAGGCATTCAGAAGAGTGTGTGTATCCTAAGGCGCCTTCAGTAAGAGGTTACCAAACCAAACCTCATGAGATGTTACTCAACTGATAGTAAAGTCTTCCTTTAGTGAAATTGAATGTTTGCATATCACCAAAAAGTCATAAAATGTCTTAAATCCAAATTTAGAAAAGAAAATGTAAAACCTGGCGTTTGAAATAAGCCCACAAAGTGAACCTGGATAATACACTTTATGACAGTTTGTAAGATGATGTTTTTTGTGTTTGTGATTCGATATTTCCCTGTTCCAGCAGCCATGGAACAGACCTTTTGTGCCCTAAATGAAATGTTGGTTGACCATAAAAAATCTCCCAAAAAAACAAAAAAAGAAAAGAAAAAGAGAAGCAGTGAGATGGCTGAGAAGAGACCAGCTGTGCAGCTGCAAATCAAATACACTCAACACGACGAAGTGAAGGAGAGAGAAAGGGAGGGAGAGCAGTGATTAGAGGTCAGCTGTTGGATGGGCTGAAGTGCTGTTATGCTTCAGAGCTTCACGACATCGGACTTGACTACAAGACTCTTTACCAAATGAGCTATCTGTCACTGGTTTTTATTTTGCGGCCAGCAATCACAATGTGGATCGCCCAAACACACACACACACACACACACACACACACACACACACACACACACACACACACACACACACACAC